AAATGAAAACAGCAGTTAACAAGTTAAACGTGTAAAAAAAACAGATAATAAGAGAAAATCTATAAAAACAACTCCTAAATTATCACAAATTCACAAGTGAAAGATAATACATAAAAAAAAAAAGAGTGTTTGGGAACCTGCTAATCTATTCTTCCTTCAATGAGTGTATAGCTAATATGCTTCAGTTTTACCTAATCTGACAGCAAGTTTTTCATTTTGTTTTATATCTGTAACTGGGAATGCACTGAAAAAGGCAGATGATCTATGTGAATTGCCTAATTAAGTGAATGCATAATTAATCTAATGAGAATAATCCATTTTTATAATGAAAAAGGAATCATTAAACAATTTAGAGTTATTAGAAACAATGTATTATTCAAAGGAAACTATTTTAAAAGGAGGTCTCAATGGTGATTAACAAAACAGAGTTAATTTGAACATCCTGTCGGGTTCTAGACTTCCCCATTCCAAATGTAAGGGAGGAGGGACCTCTGTACACACATTTATCTTGAAATCTCACTCCTCCTTTCTCTCTCTCTTTTTTACCCACTCCATTTTCATTATGTTGGAGAGAGGCCACTACATACACTTTAAGAGGCACGGTAGCAAAACCTATTTTTAGCAAATAAGTAAAATGAAACCTGCTTTAGTGATGTTTGGGTTTTTTTTTCCTTTTTTTTAAACAGCAAATTACAAAGGAAATAAGACAGTTTGGGAAGTAAAATGTTTGCACAACTTAAATTTCACTGTAGTTTTATGGGGTTTTAGATTTGTTTGCTTGTTTGTTTAAGTGAAAGCTAGTACAGAAAGCCTTCAACAACTTCAAACTCCTCAACTACACTGCAACCTACTAGCCACCTCAATGAAAAGATACTGAAGAACTTATTTTTGTTTCTTTTCAAACAGACAAGCACTTACGTAATTCACTGTTTGAAATTCATCTCATCTCTCTGCATTGACAAATTTTATACAGAATCTTTCTTCAACTTCTCCTGAGATAGGCTCGGTGCAGACAGAAATGGGAGATCAGTATTTCCTTTGTGGGTGGTCAACACTGTATCCAAAACTAAATAATCTCTTGGCCATAACGTCACTGATCTGACCTGGCTGAACATTTCTATGTTTGGCCCACTCATTAACAAATTTGACTTACTGACTCTTTAGAAGGCAACACGTTCTTAAAATATTTATATGAAAATTCCTTTGGAATTGGTTAGTTCATAAGTATCTTTCTCTGGTTTCTCAGCTTGATACTTGGATTCGTCCCACTTGACCATAAGCATTTAATCAAGGCACCTAGGTTAGAAGGAGTCCCCTCTATAGTCAGTGGAGACCATTTCAATTATGTCATCCATCTGCTGATGACAGAAGCCACTGAAATCCTGCAGGATCCAAAATGGCATACTTGAGTTAACTGTTCAAAGTAAAGTGGATGCATGACAGCCAATATCCTCAGTAGATGTGGGTAGGATATTTTGAAGAAAACTTTCCCAGAGAAAAAAAGATGGAAATTCAAAAACAAATAAGCATTTATTAAGTTCAGCTCAGTTTAGTCAAAACTGTTCACTTTAAATCTTCTTTAAAAAAAGTGTATTAAAAATATCCAATTAAAAGCTCAAACTTTAAAGGAGCATTCAAATCTAGTATCTGAAATAATCTGCTCCAGTGTTTTAATTTAAAAACATGTAGGTTGTGCCACAAATAAGATTTTCATTGCCAGAGAATTAAAAAAAAAATTGTACTTCTTCACAAAAAAATGGTGCTTCTGCTCTCTTTCCTCTGCCATTTTTTCTTCTTCCTGATTCATATGTATTTTCTCTCTTTCATCTGTTAGGTGTTTCTGGTAGTGTACCATGTATCTGAGTAGCGTGCATCAGATCATCCATCAAGACCACATATTTATAAGACAACAGTTCTGCACAAAGTTCAGATGTTCAGATAACTGGCATATGAGAAAGGAAAAGGGGAAAAGAAGGAGAAAAGGCGAAAAGAAGGGGAAAATGTGGACAGGTGTGCAGCCTGCATTTCAGCCTGAGAGAGGACTGCCACCCTCTCTGGTCACTAGAGCAAAAGCCACTTCCCCTTATGTCCAATGAAGTGGCATCATGTTTGCACTGTGCAGGAATTTATATCTCTTCAGCTTTTCCACTAGTTCTCCCTTCAGACATCTCCAAGCGTAATGAGTTTGAGAAACACTGCTTTAAACCTAAACCCACTGAACTCCAAAGCCAGCAAATTACCTATACAAAACTAATCATAATACTAGCTCGATCAGAGAAATGTGCTGTGGTGGTGTTATCCCAAGAAGCAACCGTGAAACTGTTTGCCTCTCTCCAAACTTTCATGTGATCAAATAAGCTGACCCCTGCACCAAATCACAAGCTTTGACTTAAGGCCTGAATTAAAGCACTTTATAACACAAATGTAAGCCTCTTAAAAGATACAGAATATTGACAATTTTTCCTGATAGCTCCAAAAACAGTCTAAAAGGTTAGAAGTCAAAAAGTACATCTGCACATCCTGGAAGCACAAATTATAAGTGTGTGCATGCACGTGCACTTGGAAGAAAATCTTCAGTCCATTTATTCCTGTTATTCCATCAACATACTGTTGTGTCCCAATTGACCACTCTTTTCATTTGGCTGTTCCATGAGGTATGTGGTTTTTTAGGGCTGACGCCAAATATCTTATTCTCTGTTCCAACATCTTCATGCTGAGAAAAAAAGTAATCTCTAAGATTTACATGCAAAATATGGATGTATTTCCCCATAGTTTAACACTTGGCATATAGGATATGGACTGTACCTGTGACAAGGTGCTAAAACAAATTAATGAGATGTAGAGAAAGCATAAAGTGTTCACTAGGGATTCCTGTGTGATATTTGGAGTGTCCCTGATAACATACACTACAGATTCCTGATCAATACAAGAAATAGGTGGAAGGGAAAAGGGAAAGAAAGGGAAAAAGAAAAGAAATGGAAAAGGGAAAGAAAAGAAAAGCAAGGATAATTTATTTCAAATTTTACAAAGTCCTGTGCTCAAAGTGACAAGGTTTTGAGATCACCTGCACTACATAGACATATAAGCCAAGCAGAAGTAAACCACATCTTTCTCATAGCTACTTTGATACAAACATGGAGTAACATCACTGAATTTGGTGAGGTGATCAGAAGTTACACAATCAAAAGAAAAGGTTTCACCTGCATTCAGTAGAGTGCTCTGTGTATAATACTCCATGACACAGACCTAGTGACTGGTATAGAGAACCTTTTTGTGTCTACAGCCCTTCAGCAGCACATTTTACTACGCTGGTATTCCAAACACCGACTAAATTTTGCCTTTCAGTCCTAATCTGCAGAGCAGAATCTCACTTATGTTGCAATAATGACCTCTGGACAAGGACACAGAAACCACTTTTTGTACCTGTGACACAATAGAGGAAAAATTTGCTAAAGGTTTAAGGGAATAATTTTAATTAGGAAACACCTGAAAATACACCATTTTAATATTATAGTCTGGTAATGAAGTAGTCAATACATCAGAGATGAATGATGATTTGAATAACCTTGCTTTTAGTTTATAGGGTACTTGAAAATGACACAGAGGGAATATTGCAGGAAAAGACAGGTAAGTTGATGAAGTAATGAGAGAGAAAAAGAAAAAGTCCAGACCTGTAATAAAATATACACAATCATAACTTTAATTGCCAGGATGGATTGTTGAAACCAATCTTTGAATTTGTATGCAAATAGACTTCCTAATAACTAAGGATAGATTTCTTAATAACAAAGGCTGGAAGGAGCTTGAGTAGAATGTCAAGAAACAATCATCTGCTGCAACTTTTCCTCATTATCTTGAGATATCAACTATACTTATATCCAATTGAAATAATGGAGCTTATGTGCACAAATACCCCTATCAGGTGTACGGGCATAAATAGAAGACAAGGTCACTAACTGCAGTGATCCATAATGCAAAATAATGCAGCACTGGGCTACATTCATTTAAATACCATGACATGTTCTAAGTAACAATGTATGCATCGATTCTGTAAGCCTAACATACAGAATTTTACACTGCATAGGACCAAACAGAAATACAGCATGTGAGCAATTCAGACAAAGGAATCACACAAAGTAAAAACATGGTTATTATGTGAGATTAATTTTCCCTTTTGGCCACTCATTTTCATTTATTTTACATTTACCAGTTAGAATCAGAAGAGGAAATTAAAACAATATACAAGGATATATATAGTATGCCTGTGGTTCCCTACCTTCTTCCTTAACTAAGATGAAATTTATTACTTCTTTCTATATTTTCCAACTGAGACTACATAGCTTGCATTTTTAGATTTGTCTATTATCAGCTTTAAAATACAGTAAGAATTAGTCCATAAAGTTAAATATTTTTGGTTCCTTGGGACTAATCACATCTGGAAATATTTTTTGCACATCTAGCAAAAACAATCCAAAGTTATAAAGATACCTTCAAATTAACTGTGTGCTTTAAGCACATGCATGGCTTAGTATGACAATGGTATAGCCAACTTGTCACAATCTTTTGTAATACTTATCCATTTCAAGCCATGAAGATGCTGGGAAGGAGGTATATGTAAGGCCCATAAGTCTTCAACAAAAAGCAGACACTTCGATACATAGAACTCATGCACTGTAAAGTATAACTTGTAGTTGCCCACCCACCGGCAGCCAGCGAAGTTAGGCCAAAACTGTTAATAATAATATTCCAGGCCATGAAACTTCGACATATGGCAATAGTCACCTTTTTTCTTTCCCAGAGAGGCAGCAATACTGAAATTCCCCTCACAGGAGGAAAGTGATTAACAAATTGAAATGGAGATGAAGTTATACATGGTAGATTAGTTTCTTTCCCTTTAAAGAAGGTATTTTGTCAGTAGCACTTTTAAAATCCTTAATCACTCAGAGAGATTAACAGCAATCCTGGAATACATGTGGAAACCCTATCTATTTGAAACGTACCATAATGCATGTAGCAGTTTCCTTTGGTAGGATCCAGCTGAATAGCCTTCACGAAGTACTTTTCTGCCTCACTCTTGCGTCCCTTAAAAAAAAATAAAAAAGAGGGAAAAATTATTTAACAGTGTGTCACCATGGAGCGATCATGTACAGTTACTATTTCCAAATTCCAGGCACTAGAGAAAAACAACTACTATTATCAGTAGACTTAACCTAAGTAAATATGAATGTTTAAGCATTACAGTAAGTTTTGTGGTCAGCTACTTTATGCTGCAGATCTCCAGACTGAGGAAGAAGTATGTCCAACATCGTCAATGTCCAAGAAGTGAGGAAGTGGTAGAAATGTACTGCAAAAAATATTGTCAAGGGCTTTGGGTGAACATCAAGCTCCACGCTACTTTTCTGGACAGGCATCAGGATGAGCATTACACAGACCCAAGCTAAAATCGTAAGGGAAGGTAAGAGGGAGGTTTAGTCATGCTCTTAAAAAAAAAAAGAGGGGAAAGGGGAGGGGAAAAAACATGGTTTGGTTCTATGAAATCGTAGAATCATAGAATATCTCAAGTTGGAAAGGACCCGTAAGGATCATCAAGTCCAACTCCCTGCTCCTAGCAGGACTACCTAAAACTAAATCATATGGCTAAGAGTGTCGTCCAGATGCTCCTTGAACTCTGACAGGCCTGGTGCCATGACCACATCCCTGGGGAGCCTGTTCCAGTGACCGACCACCCTCTCAGTGAAGAACCTTTTCCTAATGCCCAGTCTGAACTTCCCCTGACGCAGCTTCATTCGATTTCCTCGTGTCCTAAATAACACTATATCCACAGCCAAAAGTAAAGTCACCACAAGGTATACAAATAGAAAATATTTTGGATTTTAATGTGGGAAGTAAAAAAATAGAAAATATTTCTGATTTCAATGTGGGAAGTAAGATTTCATCAGAAATCAATTCTGTCAACCATAAAACATAACTGAAATAGAAAAGGTAATAGTCAATGGTATGACAAAATGGTCAGAGGGAAAAAAAAAAAACAACTGAACAGAAATGATGGTAAAAAGAACAGACATGTTCTAAACCATAGATTTTCTTATCACTGAAATTATCAAGCCACTAAAGTTGCATTATGGTATACAAGTGCCAGAGCAGATCCATTAGTAGTCATTACACTTTTTGTGAAGAAAACAGCAATATTGGATTAGCCTAGTCTGATACTCAAACACAAATCACCATCAGCTATTCAATAAGATACCTGTGACCTGTTTATCCCTAGCCCCACAAAATTAGTTGCTGCGGTTTGTGTTATAAAACAGAAGGCCTCCAGAATAAAGAACAGTTAAGCTTAACCACAGGGAAGTGCATTGTGGTCTGCACCTCTCAAGATTGCCTTGAGTGTTATTTCACAGATATAAGCATATAGGCTTTCTCAAGTTTTGTGGTCTGGAAACAGACATTGCATACATCCTGCACTATCCCACAAGTTAACATAGGAATAATAACGAAGTCTGTTCATGATTACAGCTGCTCCAGATTCTCAGTATTTCCCTCAAGGGCCTTAGAGACAATAAAATAAGGAGAGAGAAAGAAGTTGTGCAGCACACCAAGAACTATATCAAGACCAGGTTCCATCAAAATCAACATAGAGGCCATATTTCCAGGAGATCATCCTGGCAGAGATACAAGCAGGCTTATCATTTACAATATTCCAGTTTCACAAAATCAACGTTCATTGGAGGTAAGAGTTTAGCCTTACTATTTAGTAAACTTTCTTTGGTAAAGCCATGTACCTTAAAACCATATCCACATTGGCACAAGGCTCCTGTCAACCAAACGGTGCAACTACATGATAGACTACACTATCATATATTGCAGTGCCTTTCACCCCTGTGTTTTAAAAAAACCAACCAAACAAACAAACAAAAAAACCAAACCAAACAAAAAAAGACATGTAGCCCAGACTGATTTTTCCTCATCTACTAGTGCAGTAAAGATACATCTACAAATTAAACGCAATTTCTTTTTTTTAAATAGCATACAACCATAGTTGAGAACAAAAAGTGAAGAAGAAAATAATCTCAAATTGAAAACACAACATAAATTTGGGTCAGTATAAAATAATTATTCAAATCAAGAAAAATGGGGTGATAGTGGGGGAGGAAGGGTGATAATTACACACTACATTTTGCACATTTAACTCAAAGTTTGGCATTCTTAGTCTGGTGAAAGGTCCCACAACATATGTAAGTCTAGCCTTGAGGCTTCAAAATGACAGGCACCATGCATATGTATCACAAATACTGACAGAATTAACATCTACGGATTTTGCATCATTGCTTTTTTTAACAGACTAACATCATTAGTTTTAGCTGGTTGCACGCTGTCTCTGTCTATTTCTAGAATGTAAAAGGACAGTTCATTGAATACGGTCACGAAATACGTAGCTTCTGCCTACAGAACTATGACTATAAGGCCACAAATATTTGTCAAACATGATTAATTTTCATTTACTGGGATCACCAAAAATACATGACTGCTCTATTCTTTTTGGCACTTTCCAAATGGCATATTGCACTCAAGTTCAGGGCAGTCAGGAGACCTGGAGTACATAATGATGACAGGTGCCAGCATACATAGCATCAAAGGAATGACTGTGCTATTAACAGGCTCAAATACTCATTAACAGACAAAGGGGAGAAAAATCTTACATTTTATCACCCAAGACATAAAATGATCTGACTACAAACAATCAGCACAGCTACATTTGTTCATGTTGGCCATCATTTCCATATAACCACATTTGTCAAAAATTAAAAAAAAAAGAATGAAAACATTTTCTTGTGGAATGGCATTCTGAGGAACCTTGCATCACACCATCTAAAATGTCCTCTTTGGTGCCATCTGTCTGCTCCTAAAATGTCAATACCTCAGCATACATTTAATACACCTTATTTTTGCATCAAATTATATAAAATCCAATCACTTATATAAAATCCAATCACTTGACAGATCAGGCTATTTCACAATTAAAATTTAGCATTTATCAACTTTTTTCAACTATCCAATGTACACCTTAACTACCACAACAGAACGTAGACACCGTGTAGTTAGATTAAGATGACAATCCCTGTCATTGTCCCTCCCCCACTGTATGTGTTCAGTGTTAAATAAAAGACATGGCGTAAGAGAATAAAATTCTAACTTTTGAAGAAAATCCAAGTAATTGTTTAAACAGCTGAAAAATACCAGTTTGATGCAGGAAGGCATTTTGTGTGCATGTTCTCCGTTATGTGTACTGACCCATACAAATGCAGGCATTGAGAACCACTGGAAACCTCCCAATTTCCAGCAGCAGGGTGTGCAGTTGTATATGCGCAACCACATGCTTTGGCAATTTTACAAAGCAAAAAATATAACTTTACAACTGCATGCTAGCAGACTTATTTAAAGGATAAAAAAGTTATTCATAAGACTTTAATGGAAGGACTTGATGGCTCTAAGGATTAATAATGGGATACAAAATAGCTTTCACCTGTTGGTCACCAGTTCACGTCTAGTCCAGGTGGGTAGCTAATGAAAAGGTGCTATCTGACAGCTACTGGTTTGCTGAGGAGAAATGAGTGGGTGGTCCTAGTCCAAGCCCTAATGGAGATCCTTTGCACACATGCATTGGCATATATATGGCTTTTCAGTGCTGAGACCAATGAGACAGAATCATAAAACAATGAATGGCAATCTCATTGCTGGGGCGGAAAAAACCATAATGAAGACACTTCAATAATCGATTTGGAAGACTGTGCTGATATTCTCCCTAGTGGACCTGGACCTTACTCTAAAGCCTATAAGGAGGACAAACTTTCAACAGTTTTCCATTAATAAAGAAAACTTCATTTTTTTCCCCCTGTGCCTAAATAAAGATGAATTGCCCATGACTACCACCTTCCAGCAACACTAGCGAATTTAAAAGGAAAACAGTAAACGTAATTGACACATGGCTCTTATAATCTAGCACACCAGTTGTCCTGGCTTTCGGAAATACTCCACTCTCCACAAATCATGTAGACTTCAAATTAGAATGGCTTGTTGCTTGCAATTTTGGAAGCCAAACAGTTAAGTGTTTAAATATGCACTCAGGAGCTTGATTTTTAAGACCAGTTCTCTGTAGAAGTTGACTGCAAGGGTTTTTTTGGTTGATTGGTTGCTTCTTCCCTAGTGAGCAGGACAATGGATCCGACCTTGCTAATATGGTCAGACATACTGCTTAACTGGGCTTTCCTACAAAAGACTATTATTATCACCACAACAAACAAAAGAGAGCTAGCTAAGGGCAGTTGAAGCATTAGTAGAAGAGCCTGTACTTATCCTTAAAATATTAAAAAACTGAGGAAAAACTGCTGGTTTTATATCCACCCCAATTTTTTCCTGATTCTGCTGGCAAACTGTGCCAAATTCTTGTTGAGGCAGCTGTTGTACTTCAGGAGGACCAAGGACCCTGAGATGCTAGTAAAATTGGAAAAGATTAATACAGCTGAGCAGCTCTGAATAACCCTGTTGTGGAAACTATGATGACACAGTGGCAACCAGTAAGGTGGTTCAACAAATTAGGTGGTCTCTGCAATTTAAACCAACTTTATATTTCATAAATATTCATGATTCTTTAAAGTGTGCAAGGGTTTAATCAGTAGAGCAGAGACTTCACTCTTCAATATAATTTTACCAGCTTTAACTGGTAATAATGTGATTGCATAAGGAACTCAATTTGTGTCACAAATGCAGTTTACTGTCATTCCCCACATCTGCTCAATTTTTTTTGGCAAGCATTCACATTTTTTAATAAAAGGAATTGAATTATGAAAAGATTTCTTAATGGAAGATTGATTAAACTGTGGACACCAAATACAGAAAAAATGATTATTTTACATATTTCCTTCTTCCTCTCTAGGACATTTTAAAGTCACAGAGAGGCTACACAAGGGTAGTAAAAAGGTCTGAACTGAACTTGTGACTTCATTTCACGTTTATTTAAGTTATTGCAGACCTGCATATCTGTTTCATAACCAGTTCCTTTTGCCTTACAAAAGTTGTCATGG